TCCAAACATCTACATTTAACTGCTCTTTAACTAAACTACTGTGCACACAGTGGGAAAAGGATCATCTCTTCAACAAATAATGCTGGGGAAACTGGACATCCATAAGCAGAAGAATGAAACTGGACTCATCAACCCAAACTGCACAGAATAATGATTTCAAAATGCATTAAAACTTCAATTTAAGACCTGAAATCATAAAACTGGAAGAAAACATTGGGAGAAAGGTCCTTGACATCAGTCTTGGCAATGGTTTTCTGGGTATGACACCAAACAAACAGTCAACAAAAAAGCAAAAATAGACAAGTGAGATTGAATCAAAGTAAAAGTTTCTGGACAGCAAAAGAAACAATCAACAGAGTGAAAATACAACCTATGGAATAGAAGAAAACACTTGCAAATTGTAGTGATAATTATAAGGGATAAGTATCTAAAACGTGTGGGTAAAATTATAATATTTCCAGAATATCTCGCCTGGCTTTAGTACATATGAATATCAATAGGCATGTAGAGGTGGAAAGAAGTATGGCTTCAGTGCATTTGCATCATTCCTCAGGGGTGGAGAGAAGTTCATCTCCATATCAATGGGTAATTACCCGGGCAAGGAGGGCTTATCTGTACCCAAGAAGAGAGGAGGGAGGGCCGGTTTTACTTTTGCTGGAGCAGGAAAGAGAAACAGCCCCAGACTACAGTTTGTAAGCAATAAATGGATTTTAAACTTTATTTCTCCCTTTGACTGATTTTGGTTTTTAGAGGTATTTTGTCCCAGGATTTCCTCTCCCTGGACTTAAGTCTGGCACAGGTGGCAGAATTCCTCTGAACCCAAAATCTGTCATAATGGGTGCAGCCTTTGGGAGGGACTCCCCTAGAAATGATGGGGAAGAAGTGGCGCTCATGCCCAGGGACATTGTCTACACTCATGTGGTCATGCAGGTTCCACTACCGCTGCTGGCCATGCTAACCGCAGCCCATGGGTGGAGCCTAAGGCTACTGCTTCTGCCACTGCTGCTGCTCCTGCTGCCGGCTGGAGCCTGGTCACAACTATGGAAAGGAGCAGAGGTCCGGCACATCTTGATAGAGAAGCAACTGGCTGCTGTGTACCATGCCTTGTTGGCTACGGAGCCCATCAACGGAAAAGCTCTGACCAAGGTAATAACCTCCTATCCCATTGCGGGGTGGGTGCAAGACTGTACCCAAAGTCCACGGAGTGGTGTGGCACAGACACCTACCGTATATCATGTGACTGGCCACTTGCCTTTGGCATCCCCAGGGAATGGTGAAGCAGACGCATTCACCCAGGTGTGCTGGCTAGAAGGAAAGCCTGCTTCTGATGTGGCCCAAAGGCTACATCAGCATTAGTTGCACATGGGGCAAAAGACAATGTGGGCTGTAGCCCATCAGTGGGGCTTGCTATTGACCTTTGAAGAAGTCAGCTGAGCCCAGGAGTGCCCTGCATGTTGTGCAGATCAGCAAACCACCAAGAAGGGCCTAGAGTGTCTCTTTGCAGCCTATGGCTGGTGATTGAGAGCGATCAAGGCACCCACTTTATTGGACATGCATCGCAAGGATGGGTGCAGCAATTAGGAGTAAAATGGACGTGGCCCTGGACATTTTGACACATGAACCGGCAATGGCTGGCTCTTCTGGCACCTTGGGGAAAAGGCCTGGAAGCTGGCATCCTGTGTATTCCTGGAATAACAGCAAAGTGGCCCCCCCACAATCATGGTTATTTGCTTCTACAATCCTTGTGCCCTGGATAAACCCCCTGGCTGCAGCTGCCGCATGATGGCTGGAATAGATGAGTTTTGGACTTAATCTGCATGGAACTTTGAACCTAGCTGAATGCTCTGGCTTGAGAATTATCATGATTGTGTTGCTGTGGTCAAGAAAAAAGTACTTAAGGAGAGGCTTGTGACTTTGTCTAATGTTGGGTAAAAGTTTTGTGAGCAATCTAGCATGGTTGTTAGGAATGAGTAAACAACTGCTGGAGCAGGAAAGAGAGAAACAGCCCCAAACTGCAGTTTGTTAGCAATAAACGGATTTTAAACTTTACTTCTCCCTTTGACTAATTTCAGTTTTTAGAGGTATTTTGTCCTGGGATTTCCTCTCCCTGGACTTACAATATGGAAGTCATACAACTCAACAGCAGAAAAGCAAATAACCAGATTCTAAAAATAGACAAAGGACCTCGACATTTCTCAAAAGCCATACAAATGGTCAACAAGTATATGAAAATATGCTCAACATCATTAATCATCAGGGAAATGCAAATCAAAACCACCTCACACCTGTTAGAATGGCTGTTATGAAAAAGACAAACTTAACAAATACTGGTGAGGATGTGGAGAAACCTTTGTACACTGTTGGTGGGAATGTAAATGGGTGTAGTTATTATGGAAAACAGTATGGAGGTTCATCAAAATCAAAAAATAGAAATACCTTGATTCAGAATCCCATTTCTGGGTATGTATCTAAAGGAAATGATAGCAGGATCTCAAAGAGAACTGCATTCCTATGTCCATGTTCACTGAACCATCATTCTCAAAAGTCAAGATTGGAAACAATCTAAAATGTCCACTGATGAATGCATGATTAAAGGTGGTGTGTGCATATGTACATATACATACAATGCAACATTCAACCAAAAAAGGGAAGGAAATCCTGACATTTGCCCTAACATGGATAAAACTTGAGGGCATTCCACTAAGTGAAATAAACCAGACATAGAAAGATAAAATTGCCTGATCTCCGTGGAATCTAAAACACTCAAACTCACAGAAACAAGAGAGCAGAATGGTGGTTTTCAGGGGCTGAGGAAATGGGGAATGGGGAGGTGTTGGTCAAGGTCAGCTATTCAACATAAATAAGCTCTGGAGACATAGTGTACAACGTGACTACAGTTAACACTACTGTGTTGTATACTTGAAATTTGCCAATGCATTAGATCTTAAATGTTCTCACCACAAAGAAAACAAAGGTAACTGAGTCAGGTGATGGATATGTTAATTGCTTTATTGTGGCAGTTAACTCACACTGTGTATGTATACCAAAACATGTTAGCCTTAAATATATACAAATTTTACTTGATACATTATTAAAGATGGGTAAATGCACAGCCATAAACAGACATTTTACTATCTAAGATATGTAAATAGAATATGAACACATGAAAAGACAGTTAACTAGCCATTAAGGAGATGCAAATTAAAACCATGATGAGGTATCACTACACCCCTTACAACCACTAATCCAAACAAGAGTGACAGTACCAAGTACCAGGGAGATCAGGAAGTAACTGCGTTTCTCTGGCACTGCTGGCGGAAGTGCCAAACTATACAGCTAGTCTGGAAAGCAGTCTGGCAGTTTCTTAAAGAACACAACATATACCTACCATTAAACCTCAATCACACCCCTGGGCATTTATCCCACAGAAAAAGTAATTTATGTTCACACAAAAATCTGAATGTCTGTGCTCACAGGAGCTTTATTTAAAATAGCCAAAAATCAGAAACTCAGAATGTCTTCCAATAGGAGACTGGCTAAACAAACTATGACATAGAGTGGGATACTATGTGCCAATCAGAGAAATAACCTAATGATATACACTACAACTTAATGTCGACATCATCAAATACTATATGTTTCTATTTCTGTAACATTCTTGAAATGGCAAAACTACAGAGATGAAGAGATTAGTAGCTGGGAGGTCAGAGATGTAATGGAAGAGGGCGTGGGTATGCTTACAAAGAGGGGAGCATGAGGGAAATCCTTGTGGTGACAAAGCACTTCCGTATTGTGATTACGGCGGTGGGTACATGAAGCTCCGCATGTGAAAAAATGGCACAGGGCCATTGACACACATTGTACCAACGTCTGTTCCCTGGTGCTGAGAGTGTATTAGAGCTATGTAAGGTACAGCTACTGGGAGAAATGTATGAAGATACAATTGTGCCAATTCCTTTGACTCTATATACCACATAAAAAGAGTTTTTAAAAAGTATTTGTAGAAACCAAGAATAATCTTAACATTTTGTTTTTAAAAGCCAAAGATGAAGAAAAAAGGTTACAAAACATACAAGTATTGATAAAGGTCTGAACTTCCTCAATGAATAAGACCAAAAAGCCAAAAAGCTAAACAAAAAAGGGGCTAAAGGTGTGATCAAACACTTCATTAAAGGAGATTATGAATGGTTAAAAAGTACAGGAAAAGAAGTTAAATACTGTTAGTCACTGGGAAATACAAATTAAAACCAGTATGATACAACTAGACTCCAACTAGATGGTTAGAAACAGTAAGTATGACTTACCAAACCAAAGCTGGTAACCACAGAGCAATGAGAACTCAGGCATTGCTTAGAGCCAGATTGGAAACATTGGACAGTTTCTCATAAAGTTACATATAAACTTAGCAGAAGACTCAGCAAGCCCACTCTCGGGTATTTACACAGGAGAAATGAAAACATGGTGGCACAAAGACTTGTTTGTAAATCTTCACAGCAGCTTTATTCGTAAGAGCCCAAGCATCTAATGACGAAAGGATTAACAAACTGTGGTACAGTCACATAAAGGACTACTAGTCAGGATAAAGAGAACAAACCAGTGATACACACATATGCACAAGTCTCAAAAGCATTATGCTAAGTGAAAGAAGCCCGACAGAAGAGGGTACCATACTTTGTGATTCCATTATATAAATTTCGAGAAAAGGCAAAACGATGGCAATAGAAAGCAGATCAGTGATGGCAAGGGGTGTGAAAGGCAGGGCTGGAGGGAGGGGATTCACTGCAAAGAGGTATAAGGATCTTTTGGCATGATGAAAATAGTCCAAATCATAATTCTGATGATGGAAATATACTGTATGATTTTTTAAAACTCTATGACTTTTCCATTGAAAAGTGTAGAGTTTTTTTTTCTGTTAAATACACCTCAATAAAAGTGATTAACATTTAAAAAAGAACAAACAGAATTGCAGTCTAGAGGGAGTCACAGTTAAGTTTGCTCACCCACTGAGACGAGGTGGCTGTAGTTCTCCAGCATGACATCTCTGTACAGGGTCCTCTGCGCAGGGCCGAGGGCCCACCACTCCTCCTGGGTGAACTCCACAGTCACGTCCTTGAATGACACTGACCCCTGTAACAGCACATTTCTATCAATCTGAGGGTGCAGATCAATAACATGGAAAATATTTTTGGAAATTAAGTCTTACTACATTTATTGTTCAGAGTTTAAAACAAAATGCTGTGAAGGATGACTGTCATGGCCATAAATCTCTCTTACACTTTGGGGATATGCACACAATTAGTAAAAAAAAAAAAATTATTCTCATGCTCTGATTTATTTATATTTATTTTTAATTTATACAAATATGTTGTCACTTAATGAAAAAGCTTAGTGCCTTATTTTTTTTTAGGTACAGTTATTATAAACAGGATTCCTGTAAACATCTGGATTATGGGGAGCACTCTATGCAGAGTATTCACACCCCTCACTGGAGATCTGGGCTGGGTAAATGGAGAACCAATGAAGAGATACACATAAGCCCAGGGAGGTACTACACACCACATTTATATTTCAGGAGCAATGCTCTAGAACAGGATTTCTTCAGCATGGCCCTACCAACACTGTGGATGAGATAATGCTGTCCTGTGTACTTTATGATGTTTATCAGTCAGTTTCTCTGCCTTCTACTCATTAGATGCCAGCAGCACCCCCAGTTGTGACAATCAAAAGTATCTCCAAATATTGCCAAAAGTCTCCTGTGGAGCAAAACTGACCCTGCTTAAGAACCATTGCTCTGCATGAATAGTGGACAATGTCTTAAGCAGCAAAACAAAAAACCTGATTTAACAGATGACCTATGTTAAGGCAAAGCAAAAAAGATCAAGAATGGGAAACTAATCCCTATAGAAAACAAAATCCGGTCACTATTTTCTTGTGCAGTTATTACAGAGATGCTACACAAGCAACTGGGTGATGCTGATGCCAAACATGGAGACGGGGTGATCAATGAGCCAGAGGCTGGGTCACAGTGAGGCAGATGTTCTCCATCTGCACTCAAATACCTGTGGTCATACATATGGGATCACCTATTTCATGTTTTTGGAACAGAGAGGGAGCTCTAAGATGAAAATAAGGATTTAGGAGACATTAGTCATTGAGATGGTCACCGAAGTCATCAGAGAAAATGGTCTGGCTCAAAAAGGGCACACAAACCAAGGAGAGAAAAGGACCAAGTATGGAGTTCAAAGGAAGAGCAACATTTAAGAGGCAGGCAGCAAAAGAATAGGCATTGAAGGCTGAGAAAGGATTTCTAAATCGCGGAACAAGAAATTATAAAGATTAGACTACAGGAAATTAAGAGATGAGAGAATTATACGCGTAAATGATTCCTCTAGTTCAAGGAGGCAGACGGAGCACACACATTTACATACCAGCCCCCAAAATCACACTGAGGTAAAATATAAAATCTACTATAGGAGCTTGAAAAGAGAAATATCCCAGCAGAAGGCCTGGAAATGTGAACAAATTCTGGATGATGGAGAGTAAGACAGTATAGATAAGAAAAACAGGACAATGTTGCCTAATCTAATACAAACATAGAAGTGGGTGGAAGGGTCAATGAACTGATGAGTGCCTAGAAAAACATTGAAGCTTAAACTGAAGGAGACCTAGAACAAAGCATGTGGTGGGAAGAAAGATGAAGAGTAAAATTCCTATCAAATACAGGTGACTTCATTCAAATGAGTGAGGAAAGGCTGGATGTGAAAACCTCCTCAGAATAACCAGATGGCCATCTGGGAAAACAGAGATCTGTAACACACCAATTTCTGTGCAATCAAAATCAAAATCTCAGCAGGCTTTTTGGAGATAAACAAGCTGATTTTTAAAACTTTCTATAAAGAAGCAAAGAACCTAGAATATCCAAATCAATTTTTAAGAAAAACAAAGTTGGAAGACCCACATTATCTGATTTCAAGAGTTACTGTAAAGAGACACTCAAGACGGCATCAGATTAGCAAAAGGATTGACACAGACCTCAGAAATGAAGAGTCCAGAAACAGACCCACACATACACTGCTAACTGGTTTCCCACAGAGATGCCATGGCAATTCAATGGAGAAAGTATATTCTTGTCAACAAACGGTGCTGTCAAGAGGGCATGCAAAGGGAGAGAGCACAGATCTGCAACTGTATGTTCCTCCATTCCCAATATTGAGAGTCTGCTGCCAGCACAGTATATTAAGACCCTGAGGCCCTGAAGTTCTAGGTTTCAGATGGGGCCAATTGGAACATATTTTGTCCTTTTCTGGTTAGCAGACTCTAGGCTAAAATAAAATTTAAAGGTAATCAAAAAAAGGAAATTATTCATATAAAAGACAGACTTTGAAATCCTAAGAGAATACTGTCAACAAGCTAATGAAAAGCATGTAAAAATGTAAATAAAAAATGAACAATTTACTATGAAAATATGACAAAAGTTATACTAAGAAAAAATACAAATCAAGTATAGGCTTATGACTAATAAATTAATAATCAAACTCTTTATGCAAAAAGTCTTCATAAAGCCCAAATGCATAGGTAAGTTTCATAAGACCCACATGTAACACAATTTTATTTAAATAATTATTTTTATTGAAGTATACTTGATACAGAATAGTAATTAGTTTCAGTGTATAACATAGTGATTTAACAATTACAAAATTCTCAATTATTCTAAATTCTAAATTATTAGTAAAGAAAAGCAGGGAAGTTCCCCATTTCCTTTTATGAGACTATGACCATAATACTGTAATTGGACAGAGACAAGAAAGTACAGTGTAATCCAACTGTGGATACAGAAATAAAAATCCTAAATACACTGTTAGTGAAAAGCCATAGGAAAATATGTAAGAAGTGACTGACCACACTTGTTAACAAGTTGGGTCTATACAAGATTCAAGTTAATGTAAGAAAATCTATGACACTGCTTAGGATATTTATAGATTAAAGGAAATAAGCTAAAGCTTTACTCCAATGGATACACAAAAAGTAAACAATGAACATAATTCAATGCATATTCATGAAAACTTGTGCTTAGAAGAAACATACTCACGCTGACAAAGGTTGACAAAAGCTTTACCAAAAGCTGACAGCAAATATCAGTTAATAGTAAGAGTATATATATTCCCTAAAGACTGACTTGACCTATTTCTCTCCTTTTCCATTTAATGCCTGAATCCTTCTAATCCTTATAAATCCATGACAATATAGAGGGAGGATGCATAAAGAGCTCACCTGAGGTATGTTCATTTTCTGCAGCTCTGGGAAGAGTGTAGAAAGCTGTGGCTCAGCTGAGGGGACAGAAAGGGAACAGGGCTTGCGAGACCCAGCTGCCTTGCAGCTCCTTGATTCACCTCCGAAAAGCTCAGCACTCCAGTTGGGGATCATCCTCCCTGTAGGCATGGGGCCTCTGGGCCTTGAGAAGGATGACAAGGATCAGGTACAGGCAGTACCACTTGTCTTTGGGGGACTCTCAAGTGATCATGGGTTTCAATCTACAGTTTTTTACTGAGGGAGCATAAACTTTTCTTGGTTGATTTGACAGTTATGCATGTGTCCTTCAGACTAACACAAAGGAATAAAAATGACAGAAGATAAACTGAATTAAAGTACACCAAAGGATGAGTCACTATTCTTTCAGTAAAATTAACTTAATACTAAAAATACTCAGTATATAAAGGAGCCATGGAAATACAATGGGGAAATGACAGCCTCTTCAACAACTGGTGTTGGCAAAACTGGACAGCTACATGCAAGAGAATGAAACTGGATTATTCTCTAACTCTATACACAAAAGTAAACTCAAGATGCAACAAACACTTTAATGTAAGGCATGAAACCATAAAACTCTTAGAAGACAACATAGGCAAAAATCTCTTGAATATAAACATCAGCAACTTTTTCCTGAACACATCTCCTCAGGCAAGGGAAACAAAATAAAAAATGAACAAATGGGACTACATCGTGCTAAAAAGCTTCTGTACAGCAAGGACACTATCAAGAGAACAAAAAGGCATCCTATGGTATGGGGGAATATATTTGTAAATGACATATTCAACAAGGGGTTAACATCCAAAATATATAAAGAACACACATGCGTCAACACCCAAAAAGTAAATAACCTGATTAAAAAATGGGCAGAGGGAGGAGGGCTCAAGATGGCGGTGTGAGTAGGGCGGTGGAAATCTACTCCCAAAACCATATATATTTTGAAAATACAGCAAATACAACTATTCCTAAAAGAGAGACTAGAAGATACAACAGCCAGGCTACATCTACATCTGCAAGAACTCAGCATCTCACGAAAAGGGTAAGATACAAAGCTGTAACCCGGCAGGACCTGGGCACTCCCCTGACCCCAGCTCACCAGCAGGAAGAAAAGAATCAGACTGGGGAGGGAGTGGAAGCACAGGACTGCTACATAACCAGCCGTAGTAATGTGCAGACACACACTGCATGGTGTACTGCATATTAGAGAAACAGAAAAGTAAAATCCAAGACTGAGACTGCGAGCGGTCCCCACAGCCAGCTCCCTTGGGACAAAAGAAAAGCGGGCGCTTTTTAAAAGTCTTAAAGGGACAAGGGTTTAACAGGTGGACAAAACTGTCCTGGCACACTCAGCTCAGCAGGCTGGGAATCCTAAGGAACTTCAGGTGCCCCAACCCCCTGGGAGGTAACCCAGCTCCAAAGCTCCTCACGGCAATAAGCAGCCTACTGTTCATTCCCCCCAGCTGACACTGCAAGCAAACCAGTTGACTCGCCACTACTGAGGATCAGCTGGGGAGCAACCCCGCCCACAGCAACCACACAGAATCTTCCCCCAGCATGCAGCTAACCAGGCCAGACCCAGAGCCTACTGCCAGTGCGTTGCTGCCCAGCACAGGCACAGGAAACTGGGGCAAAGTCCAGAAGGCAAAAAGGGGCACTGTTCTTGCAGGAGAACACACCTGGTGTGTCTGTGACCCCTGGCAGTGCCTTGGGCCACCCTGAGGGCCACCCCATCCATGGCAGCTCAGGGAATTAACCAAGACTGCTCCTGGTGTGCGGGTAACTGGCACAAGCAGTGGAGAACAACAAGGCTACCAGCAAGCAGGAAGGGACTCTGTTCTTAAGCTGACACATGCACCACTTGCCAGCAATCACTTCTATCGCCATGAAACAGCAGAAGAAGCTGGACCAATCCAAAATCAGTCAAACAATGCCAGAGAGAGGGCCTGGCAAGATAGATATAAACAATCTTCCTGAAAAAGAATTCAAAATAAACTGTGCTGATGGAGCTGCAGAGAAGTATGCAAGAGCTAAGGGATGAAGTCTGGAGGGAGACAACAGAAATGAAACAATCAATAGAAGGACTGAAGAGCAGACTGGATGAGGTGCAAGAGACTGTTAATGGAACAGAAATCAGAGAACAGGAATACAGAGAAGCTGAGGTGGAGGGAGATAAAAGGATATTTAGGAATGAAAGAATATTAAGAGAACTGTGTGAAATAATTGCTGAAAACTTCCCCTACTTGTGGAAGGAAACAGTCTCTCAGACCATGGAAGCCCACAGATCTCCCAACACAAGAGACCCAAGGAGGACAATGCCAAGACATATAATAAGTAAAACGGCAAAGATCAAAGACAAGGACAGGGTATTAAAGGCAGCTAGAGAG